TACACATTAGGGATGTTTTATGTGAACTATAATATCCTCAATTTTTTAGAAGTCTACTTTTTCAAATTTTCCTCTAATTCTGAGGTTTAGAACAGTTATTTAAGAAAAAAAAAAAAAGGAAAAAAAAAGAAAACCTCTTGGAATTCTCCCAATTCTTGCATAATTTACATAGCCTTACACAGACTTGGTCAGCTTGAGCTACTGTGAGAGAAAACATTGGCTACAAGGTTAAAAATTAAGTCACAAAAATTGGCAGACTCCTGCCTGTAAACAACTGCTCACTGCTGAGTGACTGCCTCTTGTATTATACTTCAAGGGTCCTTTAGAATCCCATATTCCTGCCTTTCACTTCCCACTGAAATTAAAATGTAGTTAATACAAAAAAAAAAAAAAACACAACCAAAATCTGTCCTAACATTACATTACAGTAAAGCATCATTTTCTTCCCCTATTGATTTAGAACAGCATAACTCCATCAACTTAGTTATTATTCTGGTTAATCACAATGCTGGTGGAAGCAGAATCAAGCTCTAGGGGTTCTTAATGATTTTTCTTTTCTTTTAGTGAGTTTTGCTAATACGATGCAGCTGAATGAGTTTCAGAAGCCGCACAGAGAGTCAAGGCAGCTTCTAGGCTAACTTTTCAGGTATTTCTTACATAAAACTCCCCTAGGATGTATGCAGCCAAATTGGTAGCTGAAGAGACTGGACATACTCATACTCCCAAGGGAAAACTTACAACCACTGTACATTGGCTCTAGTTTTCTCCAAATGTATTTGCTATAGGCAATGCAAATCTCAGAAGAATACTTCTGAGATTCAGTAGAGGAGAAGCTGCTGAACATTAGACCTGGGACAAAGGAATAGAGAGTCGAGAGGTAAAAGAATGATAAAGGATTATTTTTGTCTTGGAAAAGGTCACTGTGAAAGTTGAATTAAAATGAGTAGCCGCAGTACAGAATAGCCCTGGGATACTTCAAAAAAAGGTTATTCAGTGCAATGTGAAACTGCATACACTTGCCAGGAAGCAAGGTCATACCTCCTATGAAACTTCTTCACAAAAAACTGATGAATTGTTTTAATGTAAATACTGACATTAAAAGAGATCTACAAAAAATACTTAGAACTCATGCTGCATCCTTTAGGTAGCACTTCTGAAGCTGACTTCTTTCAAGCAAAACCTTACCTCCTCCACCAAAAAAATATCATAAGAACTAAACAAGGGCAGACCCTAAGTTAAAAAACATAGTCTGCACTGATTTTCCTTCAGATACTGTCCTGGGTTTAGCAGTAGTAGTCCATTTTTCTCCTTCTTGGTAGCTGGTGCAGTGCTGTGTTTTGACTTTCAGCCTGGGAACAGTGCTGATAACACTGACATTTTTAGTTGTTGCCAAGTAAAGTTTACCCTGACCAAGGACTTTGTGAGGCTCATGCTCTGCCAGGGAGGAGGGGAAGCTGGGAGGAAGCAGAGACAGGACACCTGACCCAAGCTAGCCAAAGAGGTATTCCATACCACAGCACGTCATGCCCAGGGTGTGGGGTAACTGGGAGTTTCCCAGAAGGACACGGGGTCTTCGGGGTCAGACTTGTTTTTTGGCGGGTGGTATCGTATTCTCTTCCCTTGTTATTTTCTCATCATTGTTGTCGTTGGTGGTAGCGGTGGTGATTTGTGTTGTACATTGGTTACTGGACTGTTCTTGACTCAACCGTGGGAGTTGCATTCTTTCGATTCTCCTCCCTATCCCTCCTGGAGCAGGGAAGGGGAGAGCCCCTGGGGCGGTGGACACGGGCCTCGATTGCTTCCAGCCCAGCACCACTCACTGGGAGTGAGTGAACGAACTGGCTGGCTGGGTTTAAACCACAACAGTTCTTTTTGGCGCCCAACGTGGGGCACGAAGGGTTGAGATAACAACAAATCTGCCTGGATTAATAGTCACTCATCACAATGCTGATTTATTGGCTCTCAAAGTTGTTCCTCTTGATCTCACAGTTTCAGTATATTGCACCTTGCTTCGAGCCGGTATTTGCTGTATTAGTGTTTTTCAAGTGTGGAGCTTGGGCTAAGGTTCTTGTCTCACTGTGCTTTATGGTAATGGCTTGTAATACAATAGAATCATTGATCATGAAACTGATCTGGCTTATGCTCCCAGTTCCCAGCGCTGCACCAGTTACCAAGAAGGAGAAAAACTGACTGCTACTGCTAAACCCAGGACAGGCACTTTAGTAAAGAGTGGTAAATATGACAACAAAGAGAACTCAGATTACTAATAGTTCAGGTCCATAAAGTACTTTACACAGAAAAACACTTCAGAGCAGTCACCCAGAGCATATACAAGCTCTCATGTATGAAGAACTGTTGAACACATGACAGTTTGCAAATAAAATTGAACAGTAAAAAGCCTTAAACCTCTATTTTATTTTCTTAAAAACCTTACTGACACCTATACAGCAACATATTCGAGTATTTTAACAAGAGATCAGAATATGTGGGTCTTCTACAGAGCAATATTTACCCATGTAAGAAGCACAGTCACATTCAAATTTAACCAGACTGAGAGCAAATCAAGCAACAAGCCAAATAAAGTCTGCAGCTTCTGGTGGAAATAGTACATAATGCTCATTTTTTAATGCAGTGGCAATGTAAAGAGTTATTTCAAGTTAATTTCATTTGCTCTTCTGAGACTGCAAACCAGAAACACTCCCACAGTTTTTGTACTTGGTCATCATTTTGCTGTTTGTCAAAAAAAGCAACCTTAATCCTTTCAATGTAATTTTAGTTCTGAAAAAGCAACTAAATAAACATTTCATTGAAAATATTTAAATAAAAAACAACTAAATTATAAATATTTAAGTAATAAGATTATATTAAGTACTTCAGAATAGTTGCTTTTGATGTCAAGCCTCATTTAAAGATTCTTTTGAAAAATCCTGTTTGCTCACGTATTTTCAAATATAATATTTCTGTTTACCATGTTAGCACAACATCCCCAAAAGAAACCAGCAACATCGTGATACTTTTCAAGACCAGAAGATGGGTAACTGCTCAGATACACATGGAGAAAGGGAGACACTATGGATATGTAAACATCATTTTGTGCAGTTGCTGGTATAGTAAGGCTTCCTTCCAACTTCCTTCCAATAGAGCAAGGAAGCTAGGAGCTGTCAGGATATCTCGACATTTTTCCTGTTTATTAAAAGTGGAATTTAACAGCATACCACTGCAGAGGAGCACCCAACCAACCTCTTCCTTCAAAGTAGAGTTTAGTTCTCAAACCAAAATATTTTGGTTCAAGTGAAATAAAAAGAGCGCTTCCTTTTTTAAGATCTTTTCCTGATCTAATGCCTTTATAAGGATCCGTTTTCTCAATCTCTCACCATATTTCTCAGACATTTTGCTGGTTTATTTGTTACTGGAGGTGCGGATATCAGGCATCCTAGTAGTAACTGCTGGATTCTAAGACCACATCTGGAATTCAAGAACATATCTGGAAGACACATGAGGTAAAGATGAGTCTTTCCACACCCTTCCTATCCTGAAGGGACCTTCCTATTCAGCAGTGCCTTCCTCAAGGCAGGCCTGGAAGAAGCTACATGAAGAATGCTGCCAGATGTAGCTATTTCTGCTTTCAGGGAGTCTCCGTTTTTCCTAGTATTTTAAAACAAAGTGTGTGACCTCCAGCCTGGGCTTCTTCCTCCACTGTCCTGTTCTTGCAACTCTGTATTTGCAGTATAATCACTCTGAGAATTTAAACCCATCAGGTAGGTCATAGTGAATCGTAACTGTAATAGCTGCACTTCTGGAATAGGGATTTGTCCATGCTCAGGAGACACAAAAAAAAAACCATCACCAAATCAGCCAGGATTCAGATATCCTCTAACAAAAATAGTCTGCAACTCGCATTGCAAACCTGAACAAAAAAAAAAACAAACAAAAGAACCCCACAACAACAACAAAACAACCACCAAGCCTACAAAGGTTAACCATTTTGCTATTCCAAGACCAGATTGAAAATATCTCTTTAGACCGATTTTTGTTTTGCAGTACTTGCAAAAGTACTTGCAGAGGCTGCATACGCATTTTGCAGACAGCAGGCTGTTCTCACACCAGGGAGCCTGGGGACCAGGCAACCTCTGTGCCTCAGCACTGGACACCCCATAGGTTTCTAAGAACAAGACATTGAAAAGATTCTGTTTACTACAAGTTGAATTCATTTTTCACTTTGGTTTTCTTTTTTCTCTTTTTTTTTTAAGTTTGATAGCTAATTAGCACCTCATGCAGTATTATGTTTAGAAATTTCAAACCTGAATTTAATTAAGCAAAGTTGCAAAGAGCTTTAAGTTGCAGTTTTGTCTTTTATTTTTGGGGGAGAAAAATATTTCTCTGCAAGTAAGCCAGTTGCATGTTTCTGCCTATTTCTTGAGTATTTGTCATAGGAGAAGCTGAACAAAATGGGGCTGAAATTTGGTCACTTTTATACGTTATTTGGCAATGGGCATTCCTGACAAAATTAATAATTAAAATTCATAAAAGATGTCAACCCACACCCTGGTCTTCCAAGTATGTTGCCCTCTGATCAGCTGCATTTCTATCCTCATGGAGATATATCACCAAATTGTAGATTTCAGAAACTCAGATCTGCATTAGAAAACTCACCTGCTAACCAGGAGCTCTGTGCAGAATAAGAGAGCCAGAGCTCATAAGGATTTATGCCTATGGCCAGCCAGTAAATCCAAGATGAAAGCAAGATTTCAGATGTAAACCTGAGAAGACCTGGAAAGTGGAAAGATTAATCAAAACAAGTGAACATTTTCCAAGAGAATATCCCATTAAAGTTTTTTCAACCCAATCTATACGTGCCACTAAAACTTTCAGGCTATTAAGTGTCAACCAATTATCAGTCTTAAGTCACATTTTGCCAAAGTCTACAAAATCTAGCTTCTAGCTAGATTTGTGTATTCTAACATTTAATACTAAATACTACTATTTACATTTTGGTGCATAATCACAGAACATGGGTTCAAAAATCAAACACATATTGACAGAAGAGTAAGTTTTACCTTTATGCATGTAGCTACACTATATCAGCCATAATTTGAGTGCAGGCAGTTACATGAGAAATCAAACTGCCTTAGCCTCTGGGAATTTGATTAATTGACATGTCTTCCATTACTGGATTCTCACTTTGCACAGTGTCACTGGATTCCTTTTGTACTGAGTCTCCTTTTTCCTTTCCTTGAAAACATCTCCAATATTCCCCCTTGGAGCAGACAGAGATGCACATTGCTAACACACAGTCTCACAGATTTGCAAACTCTTCTGGAAGAACAGTCCTCATCTTCACTGGTAAGAAGACTTTAGCTACAAAATTGTGCTTCAAAAGAACTTACAACTTTGGCCATCTGTTTATAACATTGTTTTTGCAAATTCTCTTTAAAGAAAAAAAAATACAAAAAAAGTGGATCCGGAAGTTAACAGCTGTTTCAGCTAGAAAGGTATTTCACACATTGAGAACCTGCTTACACAATACTAAAATTATTGTGTTTATATAGACAAAAATCTGGTTTCCTAATTAGCGCTGGGAGGCGTGTAAAGCAAGCTAGATGCTGCCTGGCCAGTATTCAGAAGACTGCAAGTTTACAGTATTTGTTCAGGGTTTTTTCCCTAAGGAGAAGGTTTTGAAGAAATGAATCCTCCTACATTAAAATAATGACTTGACACACAGCTCATCAAAATGCCTCCACAATGAAATGTTTCTTTTACTGTTCTGCTTAAAAAAAAAAAAAATGAAATATATAATTCCACAAAACTTGTACATTAAGTATTTTAATTAACTAGAGGAAAAATGCAAAAAAACCCACTCAAATAAATAAATAGATGTAAGCGGCAAGGAGAAGCAAGACAGGCCAACCCAATATGGGTGATAAGCAAACTTCTACTTTATTTGTGGTGCACTTTGCTTAAATCCGCGTGGTGTTTAGCCACACCTCCTAGGCACAACAGTATTGGTTAGTTCTACCCAGCTTCCTTCACGTTCTCCTCCCACATCCAGTATCCCGTTACCTGTGAGGCCTACCCCTTGCCTTGCTCGCACAAGGCCTCTAAGGCTCCATGGCCTTGCTCTTAGAGCCATTCTGCAACAAATAAATACTCATTAATCCAATGTGATTCAATAAAATAAGAGCCACTGAAACTTTAAAGTCACTCTTAACATGAAGTAGAGATGCAATATATTCCTGTGAACATATATTGAGCTGCTAATAGTTTTCTTATTAAAAATAAACAGATCATAATTTCCAAAGAAGCATCTGGGTGCTGGGGATATTTAAAAAAGGGTGGAGATAGACTTAAAGTTGTGTCCTAGTAGGCTGGGTTCATGGATAATAGAGATACACAGGACACAAACTTTCAAAACAATTGAGCGGTTTTCTTATTTTGCCACTCAGAAATTTACTTTCTGTATGCTTTCTACTCCATCAGCTAAAACCCTTTTCTGCTACGCTACAAATGAATTATCAACACTACTTTTTTGGTTTGTTAAGACAACCACCAGTCTCAGTCAGCCAACCCATATCAATTTTCCCTCGCAATCATTTATTTGTCTTGGACGATGAAGTCTTTGAACTCTGAGTTTTAGGAAGGTTGTTCAGTGGATTCAGATACAATTCATAGAATCATAAAATGTTTAGGGTTGGAAAGGGCCTTAAGATCATCAAGTTCCAATCCCCTGCCATGAGCAGGGGCGCCTCACACTAGACCACGTTGCCCAAGGCTCTGTCCAGCCTGGCCTTGAATGCCGGCAGGGATGGAGCATTCACAACTTCCTTGGGCAACCCATTCCAGTGCCTCACCAACCTTACAGTAAAGAACTTCCTCCTTATATCCAATCTAAACTTCCCCTGTTTATGTTTAAACCCATTACCCCTTGTCCTATAGCTACAGTCACTGATGAAGAGCTCCTCTTCAGCATTCTTGTAGGCCCCTTTCAGATACCGGAAGGCTGCTATGAGGTGTCCATCCAGCCTTCTCTTCTCCAGGCTGAACAGCCCCAACCTTCTCAGCCTATCTTCATATGGGAGGTGCTCCAGTCCCCTGATCATCCTTGTGGCCCTCCTCTGGGCTTGTTCCAACAGTTCCACATCCTTCTTATGTTGGGGACACCAGAACTGCACACAATACTCCAAGTGGGGTCACACAAGAGCAGAGTAGAGGGGCAGGATCACCTCCTTTGACCTGCTGGCCATGCTTCTTTGAAAGCAACCCAGGATACGGTTGGCTTTCTGGGCTGCCCCTGAACTGCCTTGTCTCATCAGCTTGCAGATGTTGGTCCAGCCTCTAGTGCATGTATGGAAGGGCAGTGAAGGTTTAGGTCTTATCTAGGGTCTCCCTTCTCACAGCATGAGTTGTGTCACTCCTAGGATCTCATATATATTAAAAAGAGACTATGAAAAAACAACTTCAACAAGAAGTCAAAAAATGAAAAATGGGTTCATAAACTCTGATGAATTGAGTTAAAGGAGTTTATCAACAGAGCAGGGGTAAAAATGGATGTAGTTCAAGCTATTAAAAAACTGTGGTGGGCACAACTTAATGCTGACATTCAGCACAGCACCGACTGAGCTAAGATCACTGTGCTCTAGATGAATTACTAGCTAAAGTGCCCAACACTGCCATAAATACAAGAAACTGAGACATATCCATGTTCATCTCCTCCTGGAACATTTAAGTGTTTTAATTCATCATATAGGCACAGCACCTTAGCCCTCAGAATCTGAAAGCTGAAATGACATGCAAGGCACAGGTATATGAATCAACTTATAAACATAATATTCTCAAAGAATATAGTACAATTTGAATATTTTTTTTTTAGAGAAAAAAACAGCACATATATGTCCCTATCATGCAGATGGGTTTATCTCCCACTCTTCAGCAGTCCCTGCTGATTTGCCCTGCAAATTCGCTGTCCTTCATAGCCTATCATCATCAAACAGCACTTCAGGGCACAAGAGCAACTCACTGAAAGACCCAGTGTGGCAACACCTTCAATTTAGTCTGAAATTCTAGATCCATTCAGCAATAAGCCAAGTCATTGTCAATGACACCAGAAAGTCTTTGTAGACATCTATTGTACTCACAATGTTTCATGGCTTTCTGCAAAGCCACAAGACAGTTACTAAAGTCATGCCACATTTCCACAGTAATGTTCTAATTTCATCACTGCAGCAGGCTACCTGCACAGGAGAGAAACCAGATCAGAAGTGCTCAAGAAAATTAAAATTATATGGAGAGAGAAATGCTCATTGTACGCAAACATACCAGAAGCTAGGCACGTAGAATTTGGAAAATTAAGTGATTTAAAACACACCCCCATAACCCATCAGCATGTTTCATGACCAGAGGCAGAATATAACAAAACTTAGGCAGAATAAATGTTTATTAGCTAAAAGCAATAGCACAAGCGCATGGACTCTATTTTCACATTGAGAAGATTCAGTAAAATCAGGAGGTGAAACTTTACCTCAAATATATCAACTGTGAGAATACTAGATTCTCTAGAGTCATTTCATAGGCTAAAATACCTTCAGATTAGGATTTATACATTGTACTCACTGGAGCAAAATGTCCAGCCTTTGGGATGTCGCTTGCAGGGTTGTTAGATGGATTTAGGCAACATTATAGTTCTAAACTGAATTACAGCATATAAATGAAGATGTGCAAACCCTTGAAAAGTCAAATGGATTAACAGCCTCACAGAAGCAGCAGTATATGAAAGAAAGGGACATAATTTTAAAATAATGAGAATTTGGAATTTTTTTAAACTCACTCTAAAAAACAATACAGCGATCAAAATTACCACCTAGCCCACAGCTTCAGTGCACGCTGAAGGGGTTGAAAACAGAAAAAGATAAAAAGACAGCATTCTATCCTCAGAGGAAAACATAGCTGAGTCCCACACAGAAAACATGGTTTGTAGAGCTACTCATGCACCTAGGTCTTGCAAGGCAAGTCCTCCATGTTCCAACCACTAGACTGCAGTGAGCACATATATGCATTTTCTACCTGATGTTCAGAGTTTGGCTCTGAAAGGGTAAAAGACACTTTATTTTGAACGACAGGATAAAAGCCCATTTCTGCCTAAGCCCCCTCATGCGGCAGCAGAGCGGGCTGAGCCTCCCGGCACACAGATGCAAGCACTGCACAGACCAAACAGCAGCTTCATCAGTGCATGGCACAGCAAGTTGCAGATGTGGGGCACCAACAGGCACCACTGGTAAGGAAAGCAGAGAACTGCACCACAGCATCACTGTCACCAGCACCATCTCCTTAAGTTTTGTTATGTCCAATTTTCTTTCTTGTGGTTTATAACTTGACATTTTAAATTGCACTAAGCTCAAAGGTAGCGTGTACCTTGTCAGGTTGCACACTCCGTGTTCCCTCCCCTTATGAAAGGTAACACTAATTAAAGCACAGATTAGATATTAAATTCTGAACTATTGCTTTCTTCAGGTAACATTGTCTATTGCTATTTTTTTTTTATTTTCACATGTGGATTCTGAAGAGGATGGCTGTAATTTGTCTTGTTTCTTTCCATAAATATTACCTGTCTTAAGATATTTCTTAATTCCATATGCACATATATGCATTTGCATGCTGTCACCACAAGTTACAGCAGCACAAGGTCTCAGCAGACATGCTGATCATCTTTTGACCACAGGCTCCCAAGGAAACCAGAGAGCCTCTGGTCTAGCGTATAAATACACCAACAGCCATCCTGGACACAGAGCTCGAGCCATCTGCCCTGGTGTCAGGCTGTGGCGTTTTATTCCACAAGGAGAAACTCATTCTTCTGTAGCAAAGGACACTGTAATGACAATAAAAGCAGGAGCAATTTGGAACTAGATGTTTTTTCTCACTAGGATTTTTAAGTTACTCTGGAATAGCACTTGTTATGTTCTGAAGTTTTGCACTATTGTTTTCCAGAATATGAACAGGAACCAATAAATGTAAGGAATCCTAAAAATCAAAGGAACTGTCATCAAAGCAGGCAAAACCTGTAAGTCCTGCTCCCCTTAAGTCCTGTAAGAAAAGAGGCTGTTAGCTTTGAGAACAAAAGGATTTCAGGCTTCAGGATGAAGTCTTTCCATGGCACAGGCACAGCCAGAAACACTTATCATCTTGAATGCTCACCTCACCTGGGGGAACTTTATGTCCTTTAAAAGAAATAATTAATATCAGAATATTACTTTTAGCATACATTAGGACATCATGACATAAGTGAATGCAGGGACCGTTCAATAAAGCAATAGAGGAGTTTTGTTAGCCTCTTCTGAGATCCTTACAGACCCACCTCTCAAGCAGAGCACCCAGAGACAGGGCTGTTAGCGCACCTATCTGTAGTGCCTGGAGTATGCACAGGGAGTGGGGGCTTATCAAAATTGATTGGGAGCACATGGGACAAGAATAATATTCTTGCATTAAGGAATTAAGGGCATTATGAATCACCCAGCTTCCGTTTGATGGGAGTTGAACTGAACCCTTGTTGAATAAGATACGGCATATGAATATGGAATAGCGTGTAAGAGCTAAGCACAAGACAGGCTACAGTGGGTGCCCCTTGTGTTGGATTTCTAGCACCTTACATCTAAGGGGCTATAAAACAATCTCTGTCTTCTCACAGACTGAATGTACCTCATACTGACTTTGCACTTCGAAATATAAGTTTTCTTATGGCTCTGCGACTACATGCCAAAATACCTGTGCACGTCTGCTCCAATCTACCGCAGATTCTAGGACCAAAACATTTTCAAAGCTGTTTTACCAGTAGCTTTCCAACAACTCATCTATACATCTACAGCATTAAATCTTTTCTTAAGATTAATTTTGCAGTCTTTCTGTTCAGATTTTGAGTGAACTATTAATCATAAGACTAAGAGATTCTTAACTAATTAATGTCTTTATGGTTATAGCTGTGATTAATCAAGTATTGTTTTGCTGCACTCTTTATAAATTACTATTTTATATTTTTATCAATACTTCACACCTAACTTGTCACATTCTCAATTGCTTTTATATTTAATGCAGAACAAAACGATTCACAAGCAAAATAATTAGCCATTTTTTGAATACAAGTGCTGGATTTTAAAGTGAAAAATGCTTAAAGGTATTTGATGCATATTTAACACCAAAATAGCAGAAGTTTGAAACACTTGCTAGTGGTTTCCATGACATCTCTGTCTTGCAACAGAATTACAGCATCAGAAGATATTAGGCACAACAAAAGATGTCTTACAAACCTCACCCTACTTCAAGGCACAGTATCTTTCATGGTTCCTTTTGAATAGCACCAGCAAATTGCCACATTCCCCAAACTGCATTCAACCTGGGAGACAAAACAAAGACACAAGAAAACAGACCCCAGCAGCCAAGACTAAGGGGCTGAGAAATCAATGCCGGTCTAATCTCCATTCTAAAGTCCTCAGCTCATATGCATTCCCCATGATATTTTTAAAAACACTTGCTGATTTTCCTCATCCATGAAGTTACTTTTCCAGCACTAAATGCTCTGTGTGGTATCCATCTCTACTCAAATGGCAGAAGTGCATCCTTTGAATGCCAACAATCTTTATAGCTGATTATTTTATTAAATAAATAAAAATACGCAAACTGCATGCAGGGGGAATATATTTTGGGGGGATGTGAAAAACACCTATGCATATTAAACAGCTTATTAGTGGTTTCTAAATTGCAGGGCAAAATAAACTTTGGTTGAAAACATACTTTACCTTCCTCCTTTTTTCCATTTGGCAGGCAAGATGTGGTCCTGACAAGTCATACGCACTTCACCTCAAGGAGACAGTTGAGTATGTCAGAAAGTTATGAGGCTGTATTTACTGTGGTCACTGATAAATTAATTAAGATTCCTTTAAAAGTGGTGGAAATGGCCTATTTATAGTTCAAAGTGTATTTACAAGCCTCAGAGGAAAATTGCAATTACATTTTCAGTTTAAAAATGTCATTGTCTCCCCTGACCTTTTGTTGCTTTCTCATGCCCTTCAAAGCAAAATGAATTCATGAGAAGTGCCAGATAGAAAACTTTAGCAGTTATGTTACCAATTTGCAGAGCAGAGGCTCTGGCACAACAAGCCTTTCTTCTTGTTGAGAGAGACCTTCTCTGTGAATGCTGCTTTAACTTTTAACCACCATCATAACTGATGCAACTATGAAGGATATGGTAAATATGCTGAAATGTAAAGTGAGGTCAGGCTGAGATTTGCAAAATGTACGAGTCTGCTAGACCCAGCTGTGACAGAGGTAAGGTACCAGGGCCATAGAGCTGCAGAGCCACTCTGCCCCAAAACCTGGCATATGCACTCTTCATTGGATGTGCTGTGTGGTGAGCATTTACCTGGCATTTATCTGACATGAAAATCTATCCCTGCTTGCATAGTAAGAGCCCACCCTGCAAGCAGTATGCTACAGCCATAACCATGCTCACTGCTTTCCCAGTGACCCTAATGTAAAAATCATGTGCTTCTCCTATTTATTCCCCCTTCTCATTTCCATGGTCTAAGCAAAGGTCAGCAGGTTTGTAGTCAATTACTGCACAGAGAGGGATACCAGTGCTGTCTCCTGCAGCTCTTTAAAGTCTACACAGAGAAAAGGCAGAGCAGAGGTAGGGACCAGCTACTCCTCCCAGCCTCTTGAGGGACATGGGGGACATGCTCAGACTTGTAAGGGCCTTAAGACCCTAAGGTGTTTCCAGTCAAAGTGTCTCATGATACCTCAACAAAAGGGTAATTCACCTTCTGGAATGTTCCTCCCTTCTCTTTGTTTCCTACCCTGTCCTGCTCCCCTCCTGCTTGCTTATTTATTTATTTATTTCCAATGCTTTCAGTGAAACTATGAATCAGGACACAGAGTTCGATGCAAGCTTCCCCAGCCCTGGGAAGCTCCATGTAATCAACCCAAGTGTGATGATACTTTCAGTAAATCACCAGGCGTTTCTTATAATATGTTTTTTAGATGACTTATTGCTTATCAGCTAATTCATCTTCTAAAAAAAAAAACAACAACACAAAAAAAAAACTTAAAAAAAACAGAACAAAAAAACACCAAACAAAAAAACAAACCAAACAACTCTTGCACAGTTAAAAATCAGCAGTAGATCAAAAATTGCAGACATGGGTAGGGTTTTGCTCCCTGTGGGCAGAAATTAAGACTCCTAATACAA